GGAAGCTCAAATTACTAGAAAAATCCAAATCATTCAATAAACTTACATACAGAAAAAAGACGAATATCCGGAGAAATAACAATATAATTATAAAGAAAGCAGATAAAGTCAGCTCTGATACTGGATCATCAAATTTCTCGAAAATATAGTGGATATTAACAAATTTATCGACAAACATATTACAACATAGACAAACTAGTGGATATAAAACAACGGATATATAAATTTATCTGGAAATTAGAGCCTGTGTTAATGTATATAAAATAGACCAAACCCGGATAGAGAAACCCGGATATAAAATATTGGTCCCAAATTAGAGCCTGTGGATATGAAATAGACCAAACCCGGATATAAGAGAAACCCGGATATAAGAGATTTTTTCTGGTCCCAAATTAGAGCCTGTGTTAATGTATATAAAATAGACCAAACCCGGATAAAGAAACCCGGATATAAGGATGGTCCCAAATTAGAGCCTGTGTTAATGTATATAAAAAAATAGACCAAACCCGGATATAAGAGAAACCCGGATATCTGGATTTTCTAGTCCCAAATTAGAGCCTGTGTTAATGTATATGAAATAGACCAAACCCGGATATAAGAGAAACCCGGATATAAGAGAGATTTTCTCTGGTCCCAAATTAGAGCCTGTGTTAATGTATATAAAAAGACCAAACCCGGATATAAGAAAACCGGATATAAGAGAGATTTCTCTGGTCCCAAAAACCTGTGGATATGAAATAGAAAACCCGGATATAAGAGAAAGATATTTCTCTGGTCCCAAATCAGAGCCTGTGTTAATGTATATAAAATAGACCAAACCCAGATATAAGAGAAACCCGGATATAAGAGAGATTTTCTCTGGTCCCAAATTAGAACCTGTGATAAAATAACCCGGATATAAGAGAAACCCGGAGAGAGATTTCTCTGGTCCCAAATTAGAGCCTGTGTTAATGTATATAAATAGACCAAACCCGGATATAAGAGAAACCCGGATATAAGAGAGATTTTCTCTGGTCCCAAATCAGAGCCTGTGTTAATGTATATGAAATAGACCAAACCCGGATATAAGAGAAACCCGGATATAAGAGAGATTTTCTCTGGTCCCAAATCAGAGCCTGTGTTAATGTATATGAAATAGACCAAACCCGGATATAAGAGAAACCCGGATATAAGAGTGATTTTCTCTGGTCCCAAATCAGAGCCTGTGTTAATGTATATGAAATAGACCAAACCCGGATATAAGAGAAACCCGGATATAAGAGTGATTTTCTCTGGTCCCAAATTAGAGCCTGTGTTAATGTATATGAAATAGACCAAACCCGGATATAAGAGAAACCGGATATAAGAGTGATTTCTCCTGGTCCCAAATTAGAGCCTGTGTTAATGTATATGAAAAGACCAAACCCGGATATAAGAGAAACCCTATAAGAATTTTCTCTGGCAAATTAGAATGTTAATGATATAAAACAGACCAAAAAGAAAAACGGAGACTTTTCTCCGGTTCCTATCCGGGTTATACTGTATCAAATCAACCAAATAAGATATTAACATAAAAAGAAAAATTTCATCCACCAAACGGACTACGGACTAAAAATGAACATATTGAATGTAATAAAAGCAGCTATACAGACACAAACATCTAAATATATTAACATCTCATACCGCAGTGATTTGCCTTCAGCCACAAAGTAGCAGGACCAGCCTGTCCAACTAGCAGACTTAATCACTTAATTGACACCATAATACAAAGATTTGCTAAACATATTACCAGCAACATCAGAGACGATTTCTACTTCCTTAGCTCCATACCACAAAAAACTACATCCGGGAACACATGTGTGAAGGTTTGACATCAGTAGCCTATATAGCAACATACACCATGAAATGGTAAACAGGCAATCTAAGTGTGTATTGAAAAAGACCCAGAAATAATACATCCCAGATTCATTAAGGAGTTAATTATCGATATTATAGACCTAATTCTAAACAATAACGCATTTGAATTTGACAACAAAAACTATATCCACACCCGAGGTACTGCAATGGGAACGAAAATGGCACCAATATATGCCACCCTAACATTAGCTTACCTAAAGTAAAACCTGTATGAAAAGAGAGAACAAATATATGGGGAAAATATAAAAAACCCACTTCACTAAATCCTGGATACGATAATCAGATGATTGCTTCATTTTCTGGAAATCCTCATGCGGTGATATGAACCAATTCCACACAAAAATCAAATTCACCCAAGAATATAATTTCAACGAATTACCATATTTAGATATACTCATTAGAAATAAAAACAACCACATAATGACAGATATCTAGCAAAAACCTACAGACATACAATAACTTCATTTCACGAGTCGTCACCGAAAAAGCTGCCTGAAATCCATTCCCTGTTCTCTAGCACGTAGGGTTTGTACTATAGTGACTGACAAACACCTCCAAAAAATCTGCCTTGAAGAACTACATAAAACCCTTAAAAAAACGAGAC